CCAATGTTCCATGCGGGAAAATGGGATCATCAGTGAAATGAGCTTTCCATTCAAGGCTCGGATGTGGGTGGCAGAAAGACCATTCCCATCTGTACTGTGTTCAGATCATCTAAAGAAAAAACGTGACCTGTATCCAACACCTTCACCTTTGAACCGTATGATCTTACTTCCCCTTGCCTCACTGAACCGCCTTTACTAAGTCTGTCCTTGCTGGGGTCAAGCCTTCATCTTTCCTCCAGGCTCCGGAAACAACTTGCTGCCGTCTGAGGCAGTGACAGTTGCCAAGTCTAGGAGAGGACATCACCCCAGTGCCCCATTTAGGGAACCCAGGATGCCGCCATTTCTTTCAGAACTGAGGAACAGGAAGGACTCTGCTTTCCTTCAAGAATTAATGATTTTGTTCTTTTGCGAACAGTGGAGATCAGAATCATGGAGTGTGTAGTCGATTTTTTTTACTTCTCCACGTATGACCTTACATTGCTCTGAATTATTTTTCACCTTAAGCCCAAGGGTGGGAAAAATAACACATTCCAGTCCACTTACAGTTCTATTAATGGAAGGTTATCACCTTATTTTTTAAATAGTGCTTGGAGAAAATAATCCTCTTGTGGTTTTAATAAGTACTTAAAACCAAACAAAAATTTAAAACCTTTAAAGAAAACACATTTTTTTTAAGTAGAAAGAAACAGTAATACTAATTTTGAAAAGACTGTTGATGTCACTGTGGTTTATTTGTAAATACAAAGTATAGGCTCTTGCTTTTTTTTTTTTTTTTTTGCTTTTTTTTTTAAGCAAAGCCAAGGAGATTAGAAACCAAGTACACATATCCTCTTTAGAGTAGAAACATAAATTAGTTTTTAACAATTAGGCACTTAAAATGTAAATGTAAAATGGCATTTTTAGAAGTATAAACTATAGTCCACTCCTAAATTCCTCCTGAAATGTTTTTACGAACACAGAAGCACAAGCATGGGAAACATTTCTCAACAAAGATAATTTCCTCTTTAAAAAACAGCAACAACAATTACAGCAACAAACCTGAACGCAAATCCCATAGGAGAGACAAATGATTAAGGTACTGACTGGGGGTAGGAGAAAAGAGCTTCTGAAATTTACATGTTTGATTAAAATATAAGCATTTAATAAAACTATTACAATAGCATACAGTATATATTATAATGAAAAATATGTCAAGAAAATAATGAATTCTAGACTTAAAATTTTACTTTACAACAAGGCACTTAACACATTGAAACAGTACAGTAAATTTCTGAAAGAATGCAACTGGCTAGCTCTCACACCTTGTAATGATATTTCTTTTATGAATATACTGTAACATAACCATCCATTTTGCAGCATTAATCATTGCATAGGAGGTAAATTAAATAATGAATTCCAACTTGGCAACTAGATTAGCTCATGTTTACAGTTTCCTTTTTTTTCTTTTAAAGGACAGTTTTCAATAATTCCATAATAAAGAACTATTCTCATTCATGATTCATTTAGAACACCACATAGTTAGGTTAATGAGTAATAAAATAAATCAGAACTTATAAGGTGTGTATCTGTATAAAAACTTTTCTTTGGGTACCTTTGACATGATTTTCAGTGTTTAGGTATTGAAGTCAAGAGCACTTCTTAATAGAAATATTCTTAGCAAGTAAGTCAAAGGAGTTAAATTATTGCAACACAATGACATTAAAAAAAATACCAGAGATCTTTATACATACAAATAGAAAAGCCTTCATCACATGGCATATTACTTATAACATGCTCAATTTAAAACTTGTAAACTCATTTATCAATAAATTCCTTCTCACACTTCCTTGCAGTACAGAAGTGAGTAGGTTAGAACCGGCTTAAATTTTTAAAGAGTTTTACAGTGCAAAACAAAAATGACAAACAAATAATAAGGAAATGCTTAAAATATTGAAGAAACAAGATGTGAACTTCTAATTAAAAAAAGAAGCTGCTTGAGGTCTAGCATGTAAAAATAAAATACAAATACAAAATAAGAAAGACTGCCAACCTGGTGTTTCAGAGTAAACAAACTATAGGTAGTTATAAAGGGAGACATTAATGATTGTGATAATGAGAGGTAAAATGGTCTGCAAATTTTCTTTGATCGAATGGACAAACGATTAGAATTGCAACTCCCTGGGATCTAAGCACATTTTCCCTTTGGGAAAGGTTTAAAAGACCTTTAAAACAATCCCTTTTGCATGGCGCTTTCAGATTATTGGCAAAAACAAAACAAGACAAGACAACAACACCACCAATGCCTTTTAAAAACTTGAAAATAGAAACTTTAAAGTGGCAAGTCTGCGTTCCAAGTCATACAACATATCTCCACTAGGCGGCACTGCTACACAGCAAAGAACCTTAGGCAAGGTCCTCCTTACACCAGACCAGGGGCTCAGGCTCGCTCCAATCAGGCCTTCTTTACTCAGCACAACTTGTTTCCCAAGATGCCAGTAAATTAAATAAGAAATTTAAATCACTCTGGGTGGAATCAGGAGCAATGCTTTATTTTCAGAGCTTTGGAGGAGCTCAAAAAATAGAATCTGAATTTCCATCTGAAAGAATTTAGAAAAAATGTGCCATAATTTACGGGAATCCTGTTATAGATATTGCACAGAAGGACTCAATCCCAAGAAAAGCTTCGAACGGGACTACTCTGGTTTACAAAAACAAGGATAATGGATAAGATCTCATATTGCAATTATCAAGGAAAAGGAGCTCCAAAAATTCACCATTTCAAAGGCAAGATCATAATTGTTTAAGTTTTCTATCCCAAAGGAGTGTATTAAGTTAAGCCTCAAGTTTGCTTTGCTAAATGTAAATGAGTTTCTGTATTTCCTTCATTTTCCCATCTTGAAACTTTGATGTTTTCCCTCCTTCTTTTCAATTCATATGCTTCCTTGGTGTCTATTAGACACCTGTGACACATACATGTAAGGAACATGTGAGGTCAGAGAGGTTTTTAAAGTTCTTTAAAAGGTGATGGTATTTTTTTAAAAAACTGCATCACTCGACGAAAATCCAAGGTTTACTGTTTCAAGGTTCTCCAACAATCAACACATCATGATTTTAAAATCTTAAATAATTTTCCTTATTTAACTTGAAGAAAATTAGGTTATCCAAGACACTGCTGAATAAGGCTCTCAGGTCTATCAGGTTAGGAATTAGATGCTCAAGGAATAGATCAAGGTCAGGAGCACAAAACCCAGGCTTCAGTGTCAGATGCTTTTCTTCATAACTGGACAGCAGGAATGGAAATTCAGTGTTTAAAGCGTGACACCTTACATATCACAAGTGTCAATATTTAGCAAACGAAAGACAGAATTCTGGCTTAAGCACATCAGTAAGCTATAGTTTCTTATTGGTTTATTTAATAACAAATACCAGAAAACTCCTTGCATTTCAAAGCCTGCCAAGGATATTCAGGATTTCCATTCTTGTTTTAAATACTCTTTCCCTGCCTTTGAATTCAACTACCTTTCCTTTAGTGATTCTTCTGCTACTCAGAGAAAGAGATGTACTGAATACAGACACAGAATTTTAGCACCAAAAATAATGACCCTTCTGAAAAGATTTGTATTGTGCTTCTCTCAAGCAATCTGAAGGTCAATTTTGTATACCAAATCATGGCAAACTAGTTTATAATGACAAATTCAGGGGTATATTTCATTCCTATGGGGAGGGAAATTTTTACCTTCAATATAAATGTGACTGCCCCTTCCACACCTCATTGGCCTGTCTTCTGATTTAGTGTTGAAGCTTCTGTAACCACAAATCTTGTTCTGGAGTTAGTAGAAGGCTCAAGAAATGGACCAACTTGGGGGCACCTGGGTGGCTCAGTCATTCAGCGTCTGCCTTCAGCTCAGGTCATGATCTCAGGGTCCTGGGACTAAGCCCTGCATCAGGCTCCCTGTTCAGCCAGAAGCCTGATTCTCCCTTCCCCCTCCCTCTGCTTGGGTTCCCTCTCTTGCTGTCTGACTGTCAAATAAATAAATAAAATGTTAAAAAAAAAATGAACCAACTCTGACAGCATTAATCTGATTCAATTTTTAAAAGCCCATCTTCTTTTTGCATCACCTCAAAGAACTTTAGAAACGAAGATCCCCCTTTACTGGGTCGCTGTCCCTAACAGACTGATTCCAACAGTAGATTATATACAGCACCGTGGTGTAATTTCAGGATCAAAGTAAAATTACTCAATTGTGGCATATGTCCTTAGGACCAGTTTATAGGAAGCTGAGTCTCTTGCTAAAAAGCAAGGATACACGACACTTTTAGACTCCATCTTGGTTTTTCCAGAAAGTACAATGTACCTAAGAAGAAAGAGTTTTCAGTGAAACGTGACCAACTGCGTTTCTGAGTTCCAGTGAGCAGCTCTAGAACATCTAGAACATCTCACACAGGGTAGGATGGGAGAGAAACGCCAGCTTGTCCCTCAAGTGGCATGAGTTTCTGTTCACATACACACGTGTTTTTAGCTGTGCTGGGGCAGCTGTCTGCCCTGGGGTGGGGGGATGGATGCAAATTTACCAGGCAGAGAGCACACACATGTGTGCACAAAGACCACTCATTTAACAGAAATAGCTCCATGTTTCCTGTCTATCTGTCATAGAGATTTTAAAGCAGAATATTTACACACACATAAAAGCTGTGAGATGGGTCAAATTCTTCCACAATAGATCACTTTTCTTTCTTTTTATAAAATTATCAGTTTACAAAAAAAGTAAAAGTGATACATGGTGCAGTGGGTGGTAGCAGCAGGTGCACATTCCCAGACCTGACCTTGACCTTCCCCAGGACAAGGTGGAAACGAAGTTCACCTCAGGTTCACTTACAACCGACAGATCTTCCCCTCCTTAAAAAGCCTAATGCTAAAACCACTCTCAACATGAGGTTATTCTATTTACACAGTAGCTGTATGTATCCAGACATTTTATTTAAAACATTAACAAATTCTTCTGACCTCGGAGGCAAAAAAAAAAAAAAAAAAAGAATCCTGAAAAAATTCTGTAGAGGGCTTTAGTGGCTAACGTATAAGGAGAAGGAAGAGTAGGTTCTTTGGCACCTCTTTAACAAGCTCATTAATAAAATCCCAGTTTGGGGGCTTGTCACCAATGAAGGAAGAGCTGCAGGAGAATATGCCTTTCTCAGGATGAATAAAAAAACAGTCAAAGGGTAATACTTCGTTCATCTCTCTAATCGTTTACACGGAATTTGGTCCACTTCTTCATTTACCAGTCAGTTCTTCTAAAATAAAAACCCAAAACTATACCTTTGGTTACAGCGTTACCTCTTTTGGTTTAAGAGCTGATGCCTTTGTTTTTGCTCCTCAGGTAGATTTCTCATTATCTTCGCCGATCTTCTGAACCCGGGAATACTTTTTGCATGAAGACTTAAAGCAGCCAGGGGGCCAGGAGAGCGGCCAGGAGAAGCAGCAAGGAATTGAGCCTTGTACGTTTTTCTCGAAAAAATAAAAGATGGGGAACCACCAGGCTCGGGACAAGAAATTAGTCTGTGAAGAGACCTTCAAGTTCTGCAAATAGTAAAAAAAAAAAAAAAAAAAGAAGAAGAAGAAGAAGAAGGAAATGAGACCCTATTTTTCATCATTTGCATCCTATCTTTTTTCTTAATTAACTTGTCGTTCATTGTACCGTAACAGAGAAAGCAGAGGAATCAGGATCACAAGGCAATAAGTGTCTTTGTTTTATTTGTTTTGGTTTTTTAAAAGATTTTATTTATTTATTTGACAGAGAGAGAGACAGACAGAGACATGGAGCACACAAGCAGGGGTAGTGGGAGGCAGAGGGAGAAGCGGGCTCCCTGTTCTGCAGGGAGCCCGGATGCAGGACTCCATCCCAGGACCCTGAGATCATGACCTGAGCTGAAGGCAGCCGCTTAACCTACTGAGCCACACAGTCATCCTGGCAGTAATTATTTTTGTGTCTTTTCCTTGATTCTGACATGTTTCTGGTCTCAGGCCCCTTTCCAGCTCATGTAAATTCTTCTGCCTGCAATCCTAGTAAGAGACTCGGGCATGGATGTGAGGGTCGGCCAGGAGGACCCAATCTCAGGACATGTGAGCAGGTGGTCGAGGCTGAGGAAGGTGGAGGGGTGAAAGGCGAGCTCACAGGGTAGAGCAGATCTAAGGTGAAAGGTGAAGGTTTTAGGTGGATGGTGTAAGGAGACACCCAGATGGAAGTGTAAATAGGAAGGAAGGTGGAAATGGGAGTCTACAAAATGGGAGGAGAGCTACCCACTGAGAGGGCATCTTTCTGTGGATACCACTAAATGAGAGCTGGAATTAGACCCTTTACAGAGGACATCTGCTCACAAATTGTATGCACTGGACAATATGGCGAGACTATCCAAAGAAAAATCGTGCTACACGGGCTCACTCTCTGACACCAGGCACACATACACACCCCTAGACTAGGAAAACACAGAGAAGGGGAGGAACCATCCCATCCTGGGATGACAGGAAGAGAGCAAGAGTTAGGGAGTCTTCTCAGAAGACATAGCCTTTCAGTTAGCTCTTACAGCGTGAGCAGCAGAAGCAAAGACAAGGTTGTCTGGGGACAGAAGGCAACAGTAACAAATAAGGAAGTATAAGAAGGGAGGCCAGAGAGCCCAGTATCACCAAAAGATATACTAAATCCAGGAATCCACGGACTACTTATTTTGCCTGAAGTTTAAAAATAATTGCTATTCTTTTCCTCAAAATTAGGTTCTTTGAGGGCAGGGAGCACGTCTTACTGAGCTGCAGCACAATGCTTCTAGAGAGAAGGTTCCTGTATTTCAAGTTAGCATTTATACTTCTTCAGTTCTAGTACTGATTAGTCAAATGAGGAAAACACTGTGCGCTATAATTTTACGGAACTTTGGTCCTTAAATGTCATTTATATTTGTGACATGATTTGGCTGAAGAGGCCATTATGGGTCTACGTTTCGGTGAACTGACCCAGACCACACACGTGAGTGGCCACCCCATGGTCATCCCCACAAAGCTATCTGAACCCCCGCTGTATGAAAAAAGGGCCACTGCACTGAAAGAAAAGAAATTACGCAGGGATGACTTCACTGCTCTCACCTTTTCATTGGCCATTGAATGGTACCACCAAAACAGCCGTGTTGTAATGTAATAAGCAATGATCACATCAACAGTATAGTGTTCATGAGCTACAAGGATGCAGATGATCCCGGCGGCACTCAGCAGCCAGCAGATTAAATGATACCACCAGAAGTGACGAGGCGAATCTAGATGGTAGAAAAAGCATAGCGTTAATGGGATTCCCAGAGACGAATTTAACGATTACCGATTACCGTCTACGCTAATGACCTTAAGTAGAATAAGATCAGGAAGTCAGCGGAAGAAGGAAACCGCTTAACCCCCCAGTCACTGTCAACCCGTCAGGATTTGCTGAGACAGGGAGGGAGCAGGAGGGAGACCCCTGGTGGCAGGTGGAACAGCCATTCGCTGGAGAACAGTCCTTCTCTAGACATCCTAGACCTTGCTCACTGCTAAGCCACTCAGTAAGGAAGAGAGCAGAGTTGTTTATTAGGGTGGTTGGAACTGGCTCATACCGGCTCACGGAAGGGATCCCACTGGGAAGAAAAGCAGTAGGGGTCAAAAGCAAGGGTAGTTGTCAAGGAAAATATGGAGGAAAATGAGAAAGCAAGAGTCATTTCAGGTCATACAGAAACTTACTCTGGTTTCTCCAGAGGGAGAAAAACAGCATTCGGCTAGCAATATTTTGCTTCTCAGCAGTTTTATACTGTTATTGCTAATATCAACTATAAGTGCTCCCTATATAAAGCTTAGGATCCTGGCTCATTCACTTGTGGATTTTAGCCTTCCTAGTGAGTCCACTAAGAAGGTCATCCTATTGATCAGCTGTAAGAGAGAACCAGAGCACGCATCAGGTTAGACAGGGTCAGGCCCACAGCTTGCCCCCACAGGTGCCAAGGCCACACAGGTAGAGACGCAACCTTTGGTTCATTGCCAATATCTTTCTCTTTTCTTTAACAGTGGTTTCCTTTATTTCATTTTATTTTAAAGATTTTATTTATTTATTTGATGGAGAGAGACACAGCGAGAGAGGGGAACACAAGCAGGGGGAGTGGGAAAGGGAAAAGCAGGCTTTCTGCTGAGCAGGGAGCCCATGTGGGACTCAATTCCAGGACCCTGGGATCATGACCTGAGTCAAAGGCAGATGCTTAACGACTAAGCCACCCAGGCATCACCCCCCTCCTTTTTCTTCTATTTTAAAGCCTTATTGGCTCACAATGTTAATACTCTCACAAACAGAATCATTTCCTATTTACCTGTGTCTCTATTCATAGCGACATTTATTTCTAAGTGCAGAACTATGGTCAAAGACCAAGAGGGTCCATTTTCAGAAGTTCGGAGGAAATACCAAATCAGGTATCTTTCAAATGAAAAACAATTTTGGTCCCAAGTGGGACAGAAAGATAATAAGCCTGTATTTGTGACTGGAAGCCTGATTTTTCCATTTTTGAAGGCGCTCCTTATTCCTTCTCAGTTGGTTCATCCTGCCTCTAAGTTCTAGCACATAACTGACAGACTCCTAGAGTTTTAAAGCTGGAAGAGGACTTACCCTTTATGGCTTGGGTGGCCAGATCCAGGCCCCACAACTGTTCTGTTAGGCGGAGAATACTCAAAATGGAGCCACCATTTAGAAATCTGGAGCCTTCCCTAACTGTGCCTTCTTTAGAATTCCAAACTCCACCCCTTCCCCAAGGTCTCCCACCCACCCAGCTTCCTCTGCTGATAGGTCACCTGGTACTTATTGCCTCAGAAGTGGGAACTGATTGGGCAAGCCAGGACCATTTTGCCTTTATTTATCCACAAGAAGCAAAGCTGAAGCAGACAAGGAGTGAAGGGGTGGGCTGAACGGTCATTTTACTGCTTGTGGAATTAAGAACGAAGTTTCAGGAAGGGCTGGAAATACTACCGCTGCTCTGCCACAGAAATGTATTCCCCGTTATGCAGTCACATTGCGACCACGGCTCACTAACTGAGCACAGTGGCTGACCCGAAGAAAAGATTTTGTATAAATTATCTTGAAATAGAAATGGGAAAATGGTAACCCCTTTCTGCTTCCCCATTCTTCCACAGGAAGAACACAGAGCTGAAATATGGTGATACAAATATTAATCCACTCCACTTGTCTGTGTGGGATCCTAGCCCTAGCTGTCATCGAATAATCATACAGATAGTGGGTTTTCTGTAGTAGCAAGGTTAAAAAAAAAAAAAAGAAAGAAAGAAAGAAAGAAAAGAAAAATTTCCCCCTTTCTTAGTAAGACATTTGGTTCTAACCACTAGGGCTGACTTCTTCAGGCTAATTTTATAAGGAACTCAGGCCCCAGTGATAATATTTACATAACTGTAGAAAGCCCACAAAAACGGTCCTGGTCCCACGTTTTCATCTGTTCTCTTGACACCATTCAAATCTACTCATGACAACCACACAAACAAGGAAAGAGACCAAACAGATCAAAAGGCGGGACGACAAAAAAACATAGGAAAGATGCATCGAATTCTAGAAGCAGACTGCTCAAAGAAGCCACTGGGAGCATGGCTTACTCAGAACAACAATACATGGGATCATTTAGAAGGTGATGGTTTTTCCTAATTGCATGGGAAACAAGCACACATATGCAATGCTCTGTTCATCGGCAGAACCGATTCTAGAGCCAGGTTTATATTAAGCATCACAGATCTGGGGCGCCTGGGTGGCTCAGTGGGTTAAGCCACTGCCTTCGGCTCAGGTCATGATCTCAGGGTCCTGGGATCGAGTCCCGCATCGGGCTCTCTGCTCAGCAGGGACCTGCTTCCCTCTCTCTCTCTCTCTGCCTGCTTCTCTGCCTACTTGTGATCTCTCTCTGTCAAATAAATAAATAAAATCTTTAAAAAAAAAAAAACAAACAAAAAAAAACAGATCTGCCATTTCATTTCTCACCAAAAATGAGAAAAAGGTGAAGATAATTCTTTCACAGCTATATGTAAACTTACACAAGTTTTAAAAACCTCAAGCCAACATCATGCCAGGGGAAGAAAATCTCTCTACATACTGCATTGCTATTGCTCTAAAGTAAAAGAAAGATCATCAGCAAGAGACCCAGACAATTCCTTAGCAATTTTATAAGCTCAGACAACTTGGGTTCCCCAATATTCTAAACAGAGCCAAGAAATTAACAGCATAACCTCTGGGGTCAGCCTGGTTGAGTTGGAACATCCCGTCCTCCAGTTACCAACTGGAGACTGTGGGAAGTCATTCTCTTGATGTTTAAGTTCCCCTCTGAAAAATGGGGAAAACAGGGCTTCTCTCTTGGGGTGGCTGCAGGGGTGAGTGAGTTATTTTGCATCCAGGGCTTAGAATAGTGCCTGGCACAGAGTATTAGGTTTCTTTGCTATTGCTGACAACAGCCCTTGGTCTTTGGTTATTTTATACAATTGGTCCTCGGTCTTCTGGGGTGGTTCTCTTCGTTACTTTGAACCCACAAGGGCTTTGCTCCAACACGAAATTCTTCCCCATCCTCAGCCTCATCTTCTTTTGTAAGTTTCCTATGATTTTCAGATTAGAGAGAAGCTTCTATAACTCCAATACACCTCTGGACTGGCAAATAATGGATCTTACACACCGGTGGAACTTTTTCCAACAAAAGTTAGAGTTAGAATCATAAATGACACAGATCACTCTATTAGCTCATCAGAACCAGTAACCAGGACTTAGACATATAGTGACTGACACTTAAGGAAGAGACAACCCCCTGATTTTGGTGCAGAAACAGACTCAGGTTTCTTCCCATTACCACTCCCACAGCATGAGGGTGAAGGCAGAAATAAGAGGAAAGTTCCAGAATGCCCTCTGCCATAAAACAGATGTGATGGATGCTGTGCATTTAACACGCTATACTCTCTGTACCCCAAGTGGGCGTGTGGCATTTACAAAGGAAACAACTCAGAAGCTACACAATTCTTACCAAAAAAAGACTTCAGTTCATCTACTGTAAAGAACCTCAGTTCTTTGTCATAATACTCTCAAAGCAGAATTTAAACCTAAAAAATCCCCAGGAAACCTAAAGGACAAGAACTCCTTTCTGGGGGTGCCTGGGTGGCCCAGTGGGTTAAGCCTCTCCCTATGGCTCAGGGTCCTGGGATCAAGCCCCGCATCGGGTTCTCTGCTCAGTGGGGAGCCTGCTTCCCCCTCTCTCTGTCTGCTGCTCTGCCTACTTGTGATCTCTCTCTCTCTCTCTCTGTCAAATAAATAAAAAAACCTAACCCCCCCCCCCAAAAAAAACCTTCCTTCTGCACCACTAACAGATAAACTCTGATTCCACACTGCCACTGGGCAAGGCTGAACCTGTCTGGATTAATGATAGGCCAAGAGATGGTGGAAGGAGCAGGACAACAGATGGGGAAGCATCCTTCTGCTGGTCTTTGCCAGAAGACTTCCTTACAATGCTGCATAAGTGAAGAAAGTTGAGATAAAGCTCTAAGAAACACTGGAGAGGGTCCTGAAACTAAAGGGGAAGGTTAATCTGACCAGTGTTGCAAGGAAAAAGTATCACTCATTTTGAAAGGACTTTGAGATAATGGGTCTAATTAAATCAAACGTCAGAAATAGACAACAAGGGGATCTGCCTGGTGACTAAAATACAGAGCCCACAATGAAGTAGACCTTATACCAGCCCTGAAAGCTGATGGTATATACAAGGATTTTGTAGAATGGGAATTAAGTGTATTATTATGGAAAGATACTTCACGTTCTTGCCTACACATTGTTCTGTAGAAAGAAATGATCAATACTGGCAAAATGTTCCTTAAAGATGCCTACTAAATCAGGACACCTGGGTGGTTCAGTGGGTCAAAGCCTCTGCCTTCGGCTCAGGTCATGATCCCAGGGTCCTGGGATCGAGCCCTGCATCGGGCTCTCTGCTCAGTGGAGAACCTGCTTCCCTTCCTCTCTCTGCCTGCCTCTCTGCCTACTTGTGTCAAATAAATAAATAAATAAACGAATGAATAAATAAATAAATAAATTTGTCTGTCAAATAAATAAACAAAATCTTAAAAAAAAAAGATCATAGAACTCAGCTGGAAAATGATGACACTGGAATGGGACAAGAAAACATCTAAAAAGGGGGAAAACATTAAATTATTTGGAATGATGGAATGGACGTTCCATACAATGGAATTTTCACTCGTAAGTCATTTACATTTCCAGTGCACTGATTCTTTTTGCAATAAGCCCAACACTTTTTCTTAGCTGCAACACTATAATAACTTTTCATACTTTGAGAAGAGGAGGGTGAGAGACATTGTGGCGGCATGCTAAATGTTAGAGAATCCAGGTTTTAAGCCTCCAGTGTCCAAATCACATACGGCTAGTTGAAATGATTTAAATATGCACATACACACAGGCGCACACCTGTCTCTTTCATAGCTAGCCATCCTAATGGAACAAGGGTTCCCATCAGTTTCCAGGCTTTGGGATCCCTCCCACGACAGTAGTCAACAGAGTGGGAAGGAGTTAGTACTCACATTCTTTGATGAACAAATAAGTAAGTGTCAGCACAACGGTGTGACCGCTGAAGAGGAAGTCTCCGCACAGGATATGGGACCCAGTTATGGACAGCCCACCGCCAGAAATCAATCGTAGAATTCGTTGTATTTTTGCCTGTGAGTCTCCGTTGAGCTGAAAGACACAAGATCAGGAAGAAAATTTACGAGCCAGTGAAATCACACTTCAGCCTAATTTGTGCGATACTTAGAAGAAAAGGTTGTGCTCTTTTCCCTTTTAACTTAAAAAAGTCAAAAAGAAGACAAGGGGGAAGATCCTCAAATTCAGTTTGTTGTACTGGCGAGTTTTAGTGACACGTTTTCAATTATTCAGTATGTTACTAATAATATGTTTGGTGGTGGTGTGTCCTTGGGCAAAGCTTTTAAAAATATTAATAACCAATGACTTCACCACAGCTATGCAATAAAGAGATCAAAGCTACTTTCTTTCCTCTTTGTAGGGGGATGTCAGGGTTTCGGATGGTTAATATTTGATTCAGCTGAATACCACATTACTAATATTCTAAAGTGTGTTTGGGGACCTTGTGTTAAGTGGGCAGCCTAAAGTGTGCACAGAGCTATATTAATATCTGATCAAGACATTTACAGTTAGGAGCTGCGACACATTACATAATTCAAATAGGTTTGCAAATGGTGCATTAGAGATGTATTGACAGCTTTAAAAGTGAGTAGCTTTGGTCAGGAAAAACATCCCCTAAGGAAAGAATCTGTTGTTGCAGAGGGACAGAGGAGCGCTCTGGTGGACAGTGATACAGAAGCCCCTAGAAGCCACCATGATGACATAGGAAAGAATGATGGGCTAGGACAGGAGTTTGACCCAACAGCCAAAAGTTTATATCCCATTAAAACTGACGCATATAGGACGGAGTAGTAGACAGAGTGGGTCAAAATGGTAGGCATGGAAAACTGGAATACTGAAATGCTTGGGAGCCAGAAAGAAGGTTTCAGATCAATCTAGTATCAGGTGAGCAGGTGTAGAAAATCAAAGAATAATCCTCAGAAATATATTTGGGTAACAGTACACATGAAAAGAGAAATACAGAAAGACCACTAATAACTAGTCATTGGGGACCTAAGGGGCCAGTTCTAGGACATGCTACCTTTTATACTCAATGATGATCCTTTAGGCAACTGGCCCCTGAAGCATGGCCAGTCCAGCCTTGGTAGTGGTTTAACAGGTGCTGAAAACAGGCAGAAGCCCAAGTAGATGCAAGGGAGTGAAGGAGGGTAGATGCCTACGGGTAGATGGGAGGAGGGTCCGGGAGTAGAGAAATTCAGTTAGCCTCTAAAGCAACTGGAAAACCATCCTATCCAGCAGGACAGGAATCGGGGCAGGATTCCCTGCCGAAAACATCACTCCTGGGGACCCTAGAACCTTCCTGATTAAAAAAAAAAAAATTCATATGGATCTGGAAAGCTTTCTGGTATTCAGATGACCCACGTAAAAAGGCAAACACACCGTGACTGGTTGATAGTTGAGAATAAGGCTCTGCAAGAGAAAATGCCGTAAACCAGGATTAGATGGTAAAGTGAGAAGTGACTTTCTTCAAAAGTTTGCTTAGGCCAAGCACAGGTGGCAAAACCAGAACATAGATATTTTATCAAGACTTCATAGTCCTTGGGGTGCCCGGGATGCTCAAACTGTTAAGAAGCTGTTAAGCTCAGGTCATGATTCCAGGGTTCTGGGATCAAATCCCACATCCGGCTCCCTGTCAGTGGGGAGCCTGCTTCTCCCTCTCCCTCTACTGCTCCCCTCTGCTCTGGCTCTCTCTCTCTCTCAAATGGATAAATAAAATCTTAAAAAAAAAAAAAGAAAAAAAAAGAAAGGACTTGAGAGTCCTTAAACCAACATGCCAGGGAGCAGGTGATCCTGCCTTGAAAAGATAGGATCTGGAAGGCAGCAGAGGATCCCCACGTGGGGAAGGGTAAGCACTGCTGATGGAGTGGCAGGACCCCCTCCAGGCGAACCTCAGGGTGGTGCACTGCAAACTACATGACATAATGTGACATGCCTTGAGGTGGAAGACAGTCTCCACCTCGGGCTTTATCGGATCAGTCACAGTCCTTCAGGAACTTCTCATCACGTGGTTGGTACAAACAACCGTTAACACCGAGATAAAATTAAAAAGTACACATGCTGCCCAACCCCTGTGTTCCCAGTTTAAAAGGACACATTCTTCTTCATTTCAAAACTCTAACATTTTTTTTTTTTTAATCTGCTCACCTATCCCAACTCAATACTCTTAATTCTCTAAGGGCAGAAACACTTAAAGCCATCAGTCCCTCCCTTGACCCCGGATTAGACAGACCCAAAGGTCTCAGCAGACCAGGGGCTGAACTATTGCCACACATGGTCTTCTCCCCTCTTCCTTTCAGCAGCGAGGGTGAATGGAGATTTCTGAGAGCCCTGGATTCATTATGCCTTTACAGAACAGACGAAGCACGCTCTCTTACTGCTCTGTCTTTTCGCAGTTCATAATTCCTCAATCCTGTCATTGCTATCCTAGATGTCCATTTGTGCTCCGTGTAAATGCTAAATAGCACCTCAAGAAAGTGGGGGTGAAGAGGTAGAAAGAAAACTGGGGAGAGTGGGGGAGGCTAATGGTGAGAGTTGGGGTTAATGTTCTTTTTTTTTTTTTTTTTTCTAATTCTGTTTTGGTTCACTGGGCCTGCATCACTCACCACTTAAGACTCTAGTTCTTATTAATTTCCTCATTTTCTCAGACACCATTCCATGCCCTGACTGGGTACGAACAGAAGATGTAGATGACTAAGAGGACAGGCATCGTCGATCACAAGCACCCAGAGCAGACAGAGCTCGGTGCTCTTAAGGGTTCCTGGAGCTGTCCCTGCCGCACGCCATGTCCCACAAGAAAGTACAAGAGAGCCCAGACCGGCTGGTGCCAAACCAGAAAACTCACCCTGCACTGTCCCTTTAGTTCAGAAGAAAAGTTCTCTGGGCACCCATGGCCAGCAAAGCTTTCTCGGGGAAGGGACTAGAGCTATCCCAGACCAGCATTCTTGCCTGTGGCAAAATGGGTTGGAAAGACTCCATCATTTCATGCAAGTCCTAATGACGGGGCCAAAATGTATTCACATACACTTCTCCGAACACAGGTTTTTGTGACTGCAACCCCAAACTCGGACTGGTGGGCTGACAGCATCTGTAAGCAAAAGCCTGAAAGGGAGCCCCAGGCATAGATAAGGGAGAAGGCAAGGGGAGAACCAAAGTCCGAGGGTTTCCCCAATCTTGTGAAATCACATGTGGGGACTGTATCCACCGAGGAACAAGCTGTTTTAAGCAGTGAGGACAGTGTTTGACAACCCCTCCACCCCCGCCACCCGAGTGGTATCCAGACATGCGGTCCCGTCATCGCTCACAGGCTCAGACAGCAGTCCACTGAGTCAGCAACAGAGAAGGCAGGTATATGACCCAGGCGCCTCGGAACTGCAGAACTCTGGGCACTCAAGGCCTGTGGCTGGCCCACATTTAGAAAGCAATCCTGACTTCTGCTCTGTACCACCGCATCACCTCCAGTCGAAGTGATCTGTGTGTCCGTGTTACTGAACCCTTACTCAAGCACCCACAGCCAGCCTGCTTATGCAGCAGCAAGAGGTCTTGACAACGGAACGAGGGGGCGGACTAGTCTGGAGGCCACCAGGGCTTCCACTGGGAGTATTTGTAGCTCGGTTAGCCAGTCGTATGTGTACTGATGTGGCTTCTGAAAATTGCAACTCTTCCGGGGGGGGGGGGGGGGGAGTGACCTTTAATTTGTTTTCTTTCTGTAATCACAGCAATTCACCTCTGCAAATCTCACCCATTACTGGGATGGGCTTGCCTTCTTTTCTGTGCTCGCTTCTTCATTTAACGCATAGCAATAACCCCCTTCGGAGTGTTTATTATGTTTCTGAGCTTCTCCCATGCCTTAAATTAGTTTCACTAAAAATCGGCCAATGTTTAAATTCAATATGTACACTGTTTTAATTACAGATACTTTCTGCTTTGATGGCTTTGTAAAATTATAGCTTCTCCAAACCACACCTATATTTGGCAAGGGAGACTGTGGACTTCCTTAGAACAACTCTATTTTTTCTTCCACCTTGGACATCTGCTTAGTGTTCAGTAAAATATGATGTTGGATTTCACTCCCTTGTCCAGAAATCACATGATTTGTAAGTTTCCTTTTTTTTTTTTTAATAAGCCAGGGCATCCTGGGGTCTAAGATGATTAATGGCTCTCTCAAGAAATGACTCTACCTGGAGAGACTGTAAATCCCGCTCAAGACAGTTTCAGTATTCATTCCCAAGTGTATCCCAGCAAAAGGCCACTCCGTCTTTCCATGTGTTAAAAACTTTGGGGTCCTCCTTGGCTTCTCTTACACTCATATCTGACTTTTAGCACATCCTGTTGGCCTTACCTTCCAAATGCATCCTGAATCGAACAACTTCTCTTCACTTTAGCGGGCCACAAAGGGCCTAGGGGACCCACGGCCTGGGCCACCTCCGCCTTTCCAACCTCCACTCAGCCACATGGGCCCCCTGCCATCTCTTGAGTCCGCTGTGACCTGGGATGCCGCCCAACCACACAGCTCACTTCACTGTCTTGAGTCTTGCCCCAAGGCTTTCTTACTACAGAAGCCTTTCTCTCTCTCTCTGAAGTCGTAGCACCCGCAGCGTCCCAATTACCCTGGCTCACCTTTTCTGTTCTTCATCTGATAGTGCCTGACTTAACATCACGTTACAAGGGGTGCCTTTAGTTTTTGGCTGCCATCCCTCAACAGAATATAAACTCTCAAAGGACGACGACTTTGCTTTGGTCACTGCTGTGGCTACAGTGCCTGGCCCGGTACACAGCAGCAGCTTTAACATGTGTAGAATGAAGAAGTGCATGAATAAGTAAATGAGAAGGCCAAAACGCAGAGCTGAACACCCTGCCGTAACTTTTAGTTAGCAGCACATGAATTTCTAATGCACCAAGATACAGGTCTTGCGAACACATTGGAATGTCTTCCCTCCAACTCCAAAGAGAAACAAGAAATGGACCAGACTGCAGTGACCAGCTCTAAGAGTATCTAAAAGAACCTGCCACAGAGCAAGCGGGTGTCACCAAGTGTTCTCTTCATTCCCTCTCCATGCCAACTCCGAGGCGCTTACCTTTGGGGCACACTGGAAATGCATTCCGGGCACAGGGAGAGTGGTGACGTACATCGTAATACAGCGATACAGGTATAAAGTCCCAATGATAAAAAAGAATCTGCGTCCCACGATTGACCTGAAGGAAGAACAGGGATGGGGAGAGACAAGTTGACTCGTGGTTTCTGCTCCGAGTTCAACACAAAACAACGTTTAACAGAATACAGAATTATTACAGAGTGGGCATGAGCAGACCCACTTCAGAGCTCACACACAGGCTTACGTGTGAACGGCCCACCCAGTGTTCCAGAAATGAAGGTTCACCTATTGGAAAAAATCTGGGAGGGTTAGGACCCAAAAGGAATGTCTGTGGGGAGTGGGGAAGTTATAACAGATGAAGGTTCTAGACAACCACCTATCCTAAAAAAGGTGCTCTTCACCAGAGAATTCAATGAACTGGTCTATGTTTTCCGTCAACACGGTGCATTAATAAAACCTTCTCTTGAGAATGTATCGAAGGTATAAACGAGCCACGGTCGCAGAGGAATTCAGTAATGAGCTAAGGTGATATTACATAATTGGACACACAGGGAAATGGGGCAACTAATTTAACCTGAGTTATATAAGCAAGGTTTATTTGGAAACCATCTAAAAGTATTTTCACAGTTTGGGCATGAACTATTCTGTCTGGGATTATATAGATCTTCAGAGGACTAGATTCTGAAACTGTCCAAAGTACCCTTGTGTCTTTGTGGGCATTTAACGGTGAGCTCTAGGCTGATCAGTTTACCTTGAGCTTAATCGACCTTGATCAAAAAAAGCAAAAAAAAAAAAGGATAAATACCACAAGTACTTTTACACTTTATATTTTTTTTGGTGGAGACTGTGGTCTTGGAGTAACATTAGCACTTGTCCTATACCCCCGAGTCCTCACTCCAAGGCAGTGGTTCCCAGAGGTCTGACTTTGTGCACACAGAGGCTCCTGTTGGCACCACGGCCCCATGGGTTATCTGAGTGGGCTTTGAGGGTTCTGAGTGTCCTTATGTCCAGCTGAAGATGACAGCTTGTTTTCTGCTGTGTAATTAGGGGTGGGTCCTTAAAGTCTGGGTTCTGGGGAGTCAGAGATGGGGGGCCCTGAAAGCTCCTGGAATTGCTAGCTGTAACTTTCCCAGCACATAAACTATATTCCTACAGGTCTCTCATTTTCAGTCTCAAACTTTCAAAACGAATACTGATCAAAGACTTCTGGAAAACTAGGTGGTTTCAGGCATGTGGCATATTTTTAGTTTTCTCCAAGACTGTGGTCTGACGTGGATCAAAGTCTAATTCAGGTAACTGCTGGGACTTCTAATTTACAGAATTATGTATGAATCTAATTTTAGTTGCTTGTTTCCAGTAGCTATTTTCAGAATATTCCAGGATTTCTGGGGTCAAAATATACAGTAGAAGACTACCTAGACTACTAAATGAGGGGCGCCTAGGTGGCTCAGTTGGTTAAGTGTCTGCCTTTAGCTCAGGTCATGATCTCGGGGTCCTGGGATTGAGCCCCATGTTGAGCTCCCTGCTTAGTGGGGAGTCTGATTCTTCCTTTCCCTCTTTTGTGCACTCTTACGCACTCTTTCTCTCTCAAATAAATACAATCTTTAAAAAAAATAGACTAATAGTGTGCCTGGGTGGCTCAGTGGGTTAAAGCCTCTGCCTTCAGCTCAGGTCATGATTCCAGGTTCCTGGGATCGAGTCCCACATCGGGCTCTCTGCTCAGTGGGGAGCCTGCTTCCCCCTCCCTCTCTGGCTGCTTGTGATCTCTCTATCAAATAAATAAATAAAGTCTTTAAAAAAAAAGACTATTAGGTGAAAGTATTTATTTTGTATAAGGCCATTTCTTTCTTGCTATATGAACTCTGCCTTTTCTACTACTGAAAAGGAATGGGTGATAATCAGGGGCAAGTCTCTCCATTTGGTTAAGTGAAAAACAATTCACCCTTTGCTTCAACCTCAGGCCCAAAAAGAGTGTTGAACTGTGTGCTCCGTGCTGTAAGACAAGGTGAATAAGCAGGAATTATTATGAGTCAATTATATTTATTCTAGCATTCTGAGTTCAGCTGTATTCAGAACTGAAAATTAACTTAGAAGGTAAAATGTGCACTCTGAAACCTTATTTAGAAAAATAACTACTGCTAATGATTTTTTATAAGGTGCTTTTATAAGAGAGAGCAAGTAGGATTTCTCACGCAGCTAGGATGTTCAAAGCAAGTTATAAAAATTATTCTATTAGTTACTGAAATGATACAATTCTACCTCAAAAGCAAAAAAAAAAGGAAAGAAAGAAAAGAAAAAGTATGATTTCCCCAACAAGTTTCTGATGACGGATTGTGACCAAAACAGTGGATATCATCACAATGTGTGGCCAGCTATATGACCACAAGTTTGTTTGGAGAGGGAGAATCTCAAGCAGGCTCCATGCCCAGTGCAGAGCCCGACTCAGGACTTGATCTGATGACCCTGGAATCATGACCTGAGCTGAAATCAAGAGCTAGATGCTTAACTGATTGAGCCACCCAGGCGCCCCCACGAGTTTTGACACGGTAAAGTCCAAGGTGCTCATGGAGAGGCAGCTCATAACTTTCTAGATAAAGATTCAAATAAATTGAGACTGTGCTCTGAAGCACAGTAGAAGCCAGCTACTTACCAGACCCTGGAAAAGGCCTCTTTACATATATATATATACACACACATATATATATGTGTGTGTATATATATATATACATGTCTATTCATATATGAATATATATAGTCATATATATGCATATATATAGTCATATATATAGTCATATATATGCATATATATGAATAAAATGTTGATCTAAATTAAGGGAGAAAGCAAACACCTTTGGCTGAGGCAGACTCTTATTTTCAACAGAAGTGTCAACAGAAAGAGAAATGCTAAAGTTCAACAAATCTATTGTTTGCTTTTGGCATAAAGCCTATCGCAGCTTAACAACTTTGGCAGCAAAAAGTTCTAGTAAAGACAGTTGGTAGCTGCCTTTTACTTACACACATGAAAGAAAATGTTTAGGAATGACTTCAGTTTGCGGAACAAGCTTTCAAAAGTGCAAACTTGAATTTGGGGAACTCTGGACTGGAGAGAGATTGAATTCCACTCTAGAAGCAACAAACAACTGAAATAACAGTAGAGCATAAATTCTCTCTTCTAAACATGATCTTGTGGCACGAATGCAGAAATCCCATTTTGAACAGTATGGACTAAGTTAGTAGACATTACATTTTTAAAAGCCTCCGTGTATGGGCAATGTTTTGATCTAACTTATATTTTAGTGATTTAATTGCTAGCATCTTAGTAGAGAACAAAACATCTGAAGGAGAAATGAGATGGAAAAGGAATTGAAGGGCCTTGTTTTTATGGACTAGCAGTCAGATCTCACAGGGAAGCAAAAATAACCACTTCAGAGCTACGTCCTATTTTTAAGCATCTTTAAAGCAAAAGTGTGTGGCCTCACTCCTTCCTGATTGCCCCTGTTCCAAAACAGGGAGACCGAAACTGGTGAGCTAAGAGGTCCTTTGTGGTGCCACAGGGAAGCTGGGCAGCACGCTTACTTTAGAAACCTAAAACCCAAACTGCAGGGACCCACGCCTAAATGCAGTTTCTTAAACTCTTGTGACTCGACTGCCAACAGGCAACAGGAAAGAAATGTAAAATTTGTGAACTCAGAGAATGCTATTGACTACAGACCAATCCACCCATCACATTATGAGTTAACAGAGGAAATTTCCCAGCCACTCCATTCCCCACCTGTTAAAAGCCTAAAATAACAAAAGCATGATGAAGGGAAAGTTGTTCCTTTCTAAGCCTCTTGATTTATCATGCAGATCCCACAGCACCAAGGAGCCTGAAACCCTGGACTGCACCTTGAATTCGTCAACTCTGAATCACCAACCACAGTACATCTGGAATGTCCTGATGGTTACCTCTCATACACCGTTGCTCAATAAATGCTTATTTATTCAACACGGTAGATCCTTCTGTTGCTTCCTGTCATCGAATGCCTGGATAGGACTGAATTTATCAGACAAAACGGAGAAAGACCATTTCAATTACACATCTACCCCCTCAAACACACATGTAGGGTAAGCCCTCCCCCCCAAATGGGGAAGCCTACTTACTTGTATCTCAGAAACAGCCACTGGGTGATCCATAATCCAACTAATATAATCCCATTGATTTCTGATACAGAAAATGCCCATTTTACCCGATCAATGTAATCAAAAAACTTGTCTGGTAGCGGGGGGCTGAGCTCCTTGGGAGGTACCCTTTCGTGTACAACCGTGATCATGACGGTGGTTAGGACAAGGTTGAAGAGGGCGTACACGAAGGCAATGCCTGTTTTCCACCACTCCAGGGGGAATTTGTTCCTGGATTCAGTGGGCATAGCAATCTGGATATAGTCCGGGTACTTTTTGGTGCTCTTTCGCAACCCATTGGATAAGCTCTTAGGTTTACTGTTGCCATTTTTGTTTTCTTCTTCAGCAGGCTCGGCAGGTCTCGTGTAAGTGTTTGCGGGATCGTTGGTTTGATTTTCCATATGTTCTTCGAGTTTTGCTGTCTCTATAATATCCATTGTCCCCCAGTCTTCAGATCAAAAAGGAGATGGGAAAGTTCTTGATTTTTGTGCAAACTTAACTTTTCTAAATCCTTCTACTTCTGAGATCAACATGGATTCCTATAACTGATTTTGTTTCCTAGCACAAAACGTAGAAGGGAACCATCTGATCACTGTTCCCTCCATGTAGCCGCCTGCGGTCCACTCACCACCTTCGAGAGAGGAAGCCAATTTTCTTTCTCCCAGAGGTGTTACTATCCCACCTGCAAAAAGAAAACAAAAACTATGTTCAGAAACTGCGCTTGTCCAATTGTCAACCATTCAAAACAAAAACCATTATTAACATAAGGAAGCAAATACCAGAGCCATTTGCTTTGGAAATATATCGTCAGAACATGGTTAACATTGTTGAGATGGAGTTTATTTGTAAAATATGGAGTTGTTTTATCTTGGAGTTCTTGTCTCTTTTTGAGCTGATGTCAGTATAAATAGAAACATTTTAATCATCAATTCCTTTAAAATTTCTTTAAATAAAAGTCAGGACCCAACTTTGCAAACCCTTCACCAGACACTATTACTTGTTGCTAACCATGAAGTCATAATAAGCTAGAACCTCTCCAGAGATCACATCACTCTTTCCTAAGACTGCTACTTTCCATGAACCTGGAAGAACACAAAACTGGGATGAGCTGCTCATATGGACTGGATAACACTCATTCTCTCCATTTGTCAAGTCCATTTTTTATTTCCCCCTGAAAAAACTGGAGCCTTCTCAAGTGACTACTTTCCAGAACAGATTCAAGAACCACACATTCAAGACACTTAAATGGTATTGCCTCAGTTTATCCTTTGATAGGTAGAGATAGCCACACGCTCTACACTAGGAAAGCTGACAGCCTTCAAAATAATACAGAGAAAAAAGTGTTAGCTACGTCTCATTGAGGGAACAAATTCTACTTATTCCTCGAAAGGCAAAATCCTACGATTGGCATGGGAAATTAGAAAGGAACAACATTCCGGGACAGCCACCGCAAGATCTACCAGGCAACAGAAACTGACGCCCAGAGGACCCGCTCCCGGCACTCACCACCAGGACACAGAGGAGGAGAGGGTATCTTTGGCTCAAGCTTCCCCAGGCTCCACAGAGAGCAAAGACTTTGCAACACAGAGCACCAGCACCAACTCTTTTATACTGGGCAGCAACACAGCCCCAGCTGTTCTCAATTTAGGAAAGCCGTATTTTAGTCCCTGCTGCAGAACCCAGCCACCTGAAGACGTTTCCAGACCTCATAATTAGTCCCCACCCTGAGTACACTGTGCAACTTAAGCATAATTTTAAAGGCCTCCCTTTCAAGGGGAACTTTAGGAAAAAATAGGGAGAGGGGGGTAAAAAAATTAAAGTAAGCCTTTCTTTAATGAAAGAAAAAGAGGAAAAGTTAAAATGGCATAGTCAATAACTACAAGCAGTATTTGTTGACAGAATGGACAGCAAATAGAGTGACCACAAGTGTCTATTGTGCATCTGAACCCCCCAGAGCTGAGGGAGCAATGGGGTGGCAATTAAAAAGAGCTTAAAAAACATGGCTGACCTGAACTTTCAATCCAAAGAGCTTGTAGTCTAACTGAAGAGATAGAACGCAAGTGACCAAAAAACTACTGGGGAATGATCACTAGGTAAAAATGTAGTTTTAGGGACGCCTGGGTGGCTCAGTTGGTTAAGTGGCTGCCTTCGGCTCAGGTCATGATCCCAGCATCCTGGGATCGAGTCCCACATTGGGCTCCTTGCTTGGCAGGGAACCTGCTTCTCCCTCTGCCTCTGCCTGCCTCTCTGTCTGCCTGTGCTTTTCTCGCTCTCTCTCCCTCTGTCCCTGACAAATAAATAAATAAAATCTTAAAAAAAAGAAATGTAGTTCTAGGGGCATCTGGGTGGCACAGCCGGTTAAGCATCCAACTCTTGGTTTCAGCTCAGGTCAGGGTCCTGAGACCGAACCCCGAGTCCAGTTCTGTACTCAGGGTGGAGTTTGCTTGTGATTCTCTCTCCCTCCCTCCCTATGCTCTTCTTTTTTGTCTCTCAAATAAATCTTCCAACAAAACAAAACACAAACAAACCAAATGTAGTTTTAGTTGGATCCCTGCTCCCCTGACAGGATGTGTCCACAGAAAGGCACTGCCCTTTTTCGGGGAAGTGAAAGCACGATGAAAGTCGACCTGCAGAGCAATGGAGGGTCACTGGAGGATGGAGATGGGCTAAGAGATTATCTCTGAGAAGCAGACATCGCACCTTTCTCTGGTCCCTGTGCAAAGCCACAGACACTAATATGCTAGAGAAGGATGAGAAGGGACCAGTGCCCCTCTTGGGAGACCAGGATTGACGGATATTCTTTGTAGGATCCCAACACAATGTGGTAGGAAGGGTAAGGACAGTGAAGAGGTGCCTCAGTAAGGTATTTGCAGAAACAAACCTCTGACACCAGGGATTACCACTTCTAACAGAGATGCCCAAACACGAAGTCGGCCATTGCCTGTCTTCATCAAGTTCAGGCTAATCCACGCAGAGCACCTTACCAAACTCCTCAAAATTCCCTCCAACTTTACTACTCCACATCTGCTCCTAGCCTGGTGTTTGTATGCGAAACAAGCTTGAGATTTTTGAAGCCCAGGTCCACTGGGGGACATACTGGTGGTCTTTATAAGGCAGCTACCCAGTTCTAGAACATAGAATGTAGAACCGAAGAAAATCCAATTAGTTACCTGTTTGTTTTTTTTTTTCCCTAAGAGGAAGCACTCAGCTACCCACCTCATGGGACAACTGTGAGGATGACTGAAATAATTAATCATGAAGAGATTTGTGTCCCGGGAGTAAGAGCACTTCGTGAATGCAAAGCCCATTTATCGTCATTAGTAGTAAGACTGATATTTTCCTTGGGATCTCATTAAGAAGACTAAATATACAGAGCACACTCACCCTGTGTCAACCAATCTTAGGACACAATGATCGTCACCAAGATGACGAGTACCGGGACGCCTGGGTGGCTCAGTGGGTTAAAGCCTCTGCCTTCAGCTTAGGTCATGATCTCAGGGTCCTGGGATTGAGCCCCACATCAGGCTCACTGGTCAGCATGGAGCCTGCCTTTCCCTCTCTGCCTACTTGTGATCTCTGTCAAATAAATAGATAAAATCTTAAAAAAAGAAAGATGACGAGTACAACATATTCATTCCTATGGTGATCCTTTCCTACCAGTAAGTATCTGGGAAAGTGACAAAAGCCACAGGAGTTTCTCTCGGTGGATGGCAATCCCATCAGTTTATCTGTACAGGGTACTAATGCCAGAGCACAAGGCAGATGAAAAGCTTTTCAAGTCCTCTTACATTGCAAAATATCAGAAGCTAACCTAGAGACTATTTTAAAAGTTAAAGACCTCTATAGACTAATCTTCCTTTGAAGGCAAGTGCAAAACTCTGAAAGTTTTAGTACACTGATACTGTTAGGTTTTTGGTGGGGGAACAAAGGATGATGCATTCTAAAAATGCAATTAAGTTTTCCAGTTAGGAAAGGGCTGTAATAAAACACAAACATGTAAATAGAAAAGACAGGATTATCTGGAGTGAAGTTAAAAAGGCATTTGATACAAATCAATATCCACTTGGTTTTGGGGGGAGAAAGTATTCAATAAGGGAACAGAAACCTCTGTAGAGTCACGTTCTTCAATGCCAGGAGCACATCATATGTGTGCCAACTACCTAGTAGAAAAAATCTTCCACTGTTACTCCTCTTTCCACCCCTAAGCGAAGTTTAGAATCTTTTTTTGTCAAATTACAAGAAAACACGTTATTAGCTTCTGTTTCATTTTTGTCACCTCTGTTTTGTAATATCATGTTCATACATACATTAGTCATTTCCCCTTAATAATGTTGATAGGATTTTACCTGTAATTTGATAAAAGGATTCCAAGGTTCACACTGGTAGGTATTAGGCTACGTAACATTAAGTAATAATGTGGTAATGGCACCCAGTTATTCTACTCTGAGTTCACCCAGAGGGAATAAGAATGTACAAAACATATTTCTACAAGTACGTTTTCAACAGTCATGTAGAATAGAAAATTGAAAATAATCTAAATATCCGTCAACAGGGGATTAGTTAAATGACTTATAGTTATCGTAACATTATAAAATATTATGTTTGAGATAGTAATGATAAAAGTATGAGACAAGTATATAAATACTACATAAGAAGGACGCATTATCCGATTAAATACAAACTTAGCACTGAGTAGGAGACGAGGAATCTCAATAATTCACATCAGAGGTTATGGTTTTTAAATGGGAAAGGGGCCATGTGATAGATACTCAAGGCTATCAGAAAAGGTACAAGTGTGAAACTCGTGACGCACGTATCTTGTCGGCAGTCCTGACCCGTAGCTCACTGATGGCGTCCTGGTGCGGGGACTGAGTATAGACATGAGCTCCCGTCAAAGGGCTCAGAAATGCTCTGCTGGCTAGACTTGTATGTCAGCCTCGTCATGCATTTGCAGTGGTTGAGAAGACATATTAAATATGTAAATATACTTTAAAAATTAAAGAAATTTATCTGAACTGAAATATGGATTTTAACGTTTAGAAAGAGGTCATCTGTTGAGGAAAGACGTTAGACACTGATGAGAGAAAATGCATTTAACATCTGCAAGTTGGAATTATGAATAAAAGAAATTTATACATGGAGCTTAAAGGCTTAGGAAAAACTAGGTCTTGAAACAATTTTATTGAAATGAAAATCCATGGAAATAAACACCCGGTAAGTTTCTTAACACACATAAAAGCTTTCTCAGACTTAAAAAAACTTAGTTGTCAAAACCATAGAGCCATTAAAAAGTCAAGTTGTAGAACAAAACAGCCACACATAGTTCTCAGAAAATACTACCTACCTAATTAATCCTCATTATAACTGGAGGAAGTATTTTAAAGAAATTGAGATAAAATGAGATCCTCAAGGTCAGACAGGTAGAAGGAAAAGAGCCCAGACTGGAAGCAGGACTCTCACCTCACGAGCCCTTTTTCTTTTTTTTCCCCTTAAGATTTTATTATTTATTTATTTCGAGAATCGAGGGGGTGGTGGTGGTGGGGTGGGGTAGAGGGAGAGGGAGAATCTCAAGCAGACTCTGCAGTGTGCAGAACCTGACCCGGGGCTTGATCTCATGACCCTGAGATCACGACCTGAGCCAAAATCAAGAGTCAGACGCTTAACTGACTGAGAACCCCCAGGAGCC